CGTAGACAATTCCTTGCTAATAGATTCCTCTTCAAGATCTTTCAATATTCTTCTCACCCTTTGCTTCCCGTATTGCAATCCTTGTCGGAGATTATCCCTTCCTCCAATTATTGGTCACACAAGAAACCCCCCCTTCTTATCAACAGTTTTAACAAAGTTTCCAATCTCCCATTCCCTATTTACCAAAATTATATGAACCCGTTGTTTGAAACTGATTTTAAATGTTTAACGTTTCGCCCAACAGTCTACCTTGTTTTGGCATCATGAAAGATACCCCTGGAGCAAACCAAGTCTTCAACGATATAGTTGAGAGAGAATGGCATGGCACTGGACTACTGTTTTTACCGACGCTTCAAAATTACACGAACATGGCGACTTGGGAGCCGCGGTTTGGTTCCCCAAGTTCAATGTCGTACTCAGTTTTAAATCCCCCTATCTGAATTCGGTCTTTTCGGGAGAGGCAATTGCAATACTCGAAGCCATTTTATATATTGAGTCCCATAAAATTAATAAATGTTTGGTTTTCTCAGACTCACTAAGTTGCCTCCAAGACATTATTAAGCTACCGTTTCATTCCAAAGACAATTTCTCCATCACCCTCCAAATTAAGGAAGCTCTGTACCGATGTCATTGTGCGGGAATTGAGGTAACTCTGGCCTGGATTCCCGGTCACAGTGGGATTAGTGGCAACGAAGCAGTAGACGCCTTTGCAAAGGATGCGACAAGAATTGGCGTATGCAAATACTGTAAGTGCTTTCCCAGAGATCTGCTCGCCATGACCAAACCCCAAATGCTAGCCTCCTGGTCGGTCCTTTGGCAGGAATCACGACAAACTGTTGGTAGACACTATGGTAACCTCCAACCAAATCTACCCACTAAACCCTGGTTTTTTAAACGTCGCGATTTGCCTAAAAACATCACTTCCACTATTATTCGTTTGCGCTTAGGCCATGTTTGCACACCTGTATTTTTGCGTAAAATCAGAGTTCGAGACCACTCTCTGTGCGAGTGCGGCCTAGAAGACGGTACCTTGGAACACATTTTTTTCAATTGTCCTAATATTGCTGTTCCACTTTATAACTTACTTTCTCCAAAATTCCCCCGCCCCATTAACATAAACAACCTCTTAACTTTAGTGTTCTCCCCCCATATTGTTACTCTATGTAAATTTATCCACTTAAATAACATATATTTATAAATATTGTTTTGCTGTTTTGTTTTACATTCTCAACTGAGTACTCCCGTAGTCCAACTTACCAACACCGGTTAATGTCCTATTAGAGCTTAGCGAAAATTTTTTTTTGTTTCGTTTTTTTTCTTTCAACTGTGACATTGGCAAAATCATCAGTTCTCATATTGATGGAGCCATAAAAATAAAAAGTGAAGTGAATGATAGATTATTTCATCAGCTTTGTATTACTAATGACGAAGATTTCAACCGTTTGCTGTTTCATACTGATGTTCGTTGGCTATCAAGAGGCAATTTTCTGACTCGATTCTACAACCTGTTTGACTCTGTGATAGAGTTCTTGGAAACTAAAGATACAAAATTGCGCAACAAGCTCATTACATTAAAGAATGATATAGCTTACATGACAGACCTGTATAAATTGTTCAACGACATGACTCTCCAACTGCAAGGCGATGAACTAAATTTAATTAAAACAAAAAATGTCGTTGCTGCTTCCGCAGCCAAACTGCTTCTACACAAAAAGAATATGGGCAGACGTGAGTTTCACAATTTTCCGAATTTATCAGTATCCTGCAGTGACGACGACTTGTTTGCCTACTGCCAACATTTGGAAAACCTCCACATTGACTTCACCGAACGATACCAGGACATTTTGAACTTGGAAATACCAGACTGGGTGCTGGATCCTTTTTCAAATGTCAACACAGCAATATCACCTCAGCTGGAAGAAGAACTTATAGAATTGACAACGAACGAGGAAATAAAAATCAAATTCAAAAATGGCTACCAAGAATTTTGGCTACAAAAACCGATCCCGCAATTGTACCCTGGATTGTGGTCAATCGTTCAACGATTCTTGATAGCATTCCCATCGCCATATTTGTGTGAACGTGGTTTTAGTGCTGTGACAACGCTGCTTACTAAAAAGAGAAATCGTTTGCATGTTACCGAACGTGGTGACTGACGTGCGGCTGTTCTTGAGTAAATTGGAACCTGATATCAACAAACTTATTAGACAGCATCAGATTCATCCTTCACATTAGTTTTTATATTAGAATCGATTATGTTTGTTTTATTTTGAATAAAAGATACTCTGTCTGAATACTATAAAGTTGCGTTTCAATAATCATTCTCATTGGCAGGTGTAGCCCGTAAGAGTTAACTTGAGACCTGAGCGCCGCCGTTGTGAACTACCTACTGCGCTCAGGTCTCAAGTTATCTCTTGCGGGTTATAGTAAGTCTCGTTTAGAATGAACGTTTAGTCTCCGCTAATATAGCTCACAATAATTAATTTAATTTGAAGTTATAGTGGTTGTTAAGTAGATGAAAAAATGGGGGCGCTAAAAAATAATTTATTTTCAAAGTGGGCCTAGACAAAATAAGTTTGGGAACCCCTGGTCTACACACTGGCACTAAGCTTTAGACTTGGAAACTTACCTTCGAAGAGACAACAAGGATTCCGTAGTCATTCTCTATTATTATTTATACATACTAGCGATGGGCGAGTCGAGTTATTTAATACGGTTAAGTCGAGTTACTCCTAGCGATGGGACGAGTTGTATTTGTTTCAACTCGAGTTACTCGAGTTGCCTTGACTGCTACCCCGAGTTAACTCGACTGTGTCTTTGACAGAGCAACCGTGAGTCGCGAGTAGAACTCGAACCGACGATTCACCGAGTTGGACACGGTCGGCCGGCCGACCGCGACTCGAGCGTGATGACCGAAGGTCACCGAACCGAGCGTGCTCTGAAGGTCACCGACACACTACGCGACGGATAGGCGGCGGGCGGGACGGGTCAACCGAGTTAGCTCGAGTTCATGAAAAAGTGACTCGAGTTGACTCGTTACAGGAGGAACTCGAGGTGACCGAATTGAATAACTCTACTCGCCAATCTAGTTATTTCGAATTCGAAAAAAATTCGGTAGTAAATTTGAGAGGATAAGGTTTTTTCTTTAAAACCTAACTTAACCGAACCATTTTTTTTTAATATAAAATATAAGTGCGCATTTGACCTCCATCTCACCTGATGAAAAGTGACGATGAGGTCGACGATGGAGCATGCACACCTAAATAATGCCTATTCACTCTCGCCTTGAAAAGACCCAAATTACCTAATCGTGTCTTTGCGATAAACATTCAACATATCCTGAAAGAACAACTGTTTCGTTATAATTCGGTTTTCGGTGTAATGAAAATTCGAACAAACGTTATTTCGGACAAAAAATTTTGACTGTGATTTTTTGGGTTACCCTTCTAACTTGTAACGAGGGAATATTGGTTACCTGCGAGACAGGCTTAGCATAGTGCAGGAATCAAGACCAATTCTCTGTACGCGATATACGCTGCAACAAGTTGTGCCCATAGTGATGTATTTCTTGTTTATTATGTAAGTACCTGCACAATTCTGTTGTCAAATAAATAAAAGCGAATATATAAAAATAATTAAAAAAGAAAATAATTGATTTTAAAACAAATTATGCAAAGTCTGATTACAAAATTACTTAACTGTGGAAGGAAACGTCCCTGTTTATTCATCTATTCATAGATGCGGTGTTTTTGCAGTTTCTAATGGCACAGTTAGGCGTTTTCAACTGATGTTTAACTACTATAACGGCAAGTCGCGTTCTGAAGAATAGTATTCATAGTAGGCAACTAAGAGTTAGGGATGCACATTACGATTCGATTTTTATGAAGGTCGATTCGAATGTATACGATCTAGCGATTTTTTAATCGATTCATTTCAATGCGATTTTTAAGTAAATCGATTCAACATTAAGGCGCATGGAATCGTCTAGATCGTATTCACAATTATTTAAACAAAACATCTATTTCTGAACCTCTATTTTATATAAGCCTGGAAGAAAAGTAGTTTCGCAACATCTAAGTAAAATAAGTCTACAATATTTGGCGATTTCCTATAAATGCACTTAGATTTAGACGCGAACGATTTAGCACGACCTGCATGTACTAAAAGTAAATAAACTTAAGTACATACTGAGTATTTTATTTTGTCTTCAATTGTAATACAGATAATCTCAGTACAAAGTACTAAAAAAACCGACTTCAAGTAATTCATCCCCTAGTTTGCCGCCCTTAGAGGTGGAATATTTTCTTCAAATTGAAATGGGACCACATCTGAGGTACCCTCTTTCCAACAAAAATAGAATCATCAAAATAGGTTTACAAATGCCGTTAGAGTTATCCCGTAACATACATACAAAAAAAAGAAAAAGAAAAACATACAGTTGAATTGAGAACCTCGTCCATTTTTTATGTCGGTTAAAAATTAGACAAGAACGGCCGACGAACATTCGTCTGAACTCCGAATTGTATTGGTTTGTTAATGTGTGTACACGCCCCCCGAACTCGGGGAACTTTGCGAGTGTATATTTAGTTGTCCGTTAGCTATAGCTATAGTAGCATAAGTATGTATAGAACGCAACTGACGCGTCACTCGGTCGGGCATAAGTTGTCTAGAAAATTTAATAACCTTATATTTTGTTTATTTAGATGGTGATGTTTACGGTGATAGTAAAAAGTTTAGTAATACATTTAAGAATCAACCAATACCATGGTTAACATTGATAATCATTCTGAATCAGTGTACAAATTATTTGACTTATTGCGTTGTAACAACAGGAAAACCTAGGGATTAAAATATATAAAGAACATTTTAATAAAAATAAATGTGTTTGGCGTAAATAAGTAAGTATGCTGCTCACCTTCTGTTCAGTTTCTGTTGTATTTATTTGGAGCAATAAAGGAAATATTTTTGCAGTGTAGAGCAAGAGCTAGAGTTGAAATGCCTACAAAAGCTGACCTTTCGTTAAGTAAGTGACCTTAAGAGTTGAATTTTAAACTTCAGAGTCATTACTCGGTTATCATCATCGCCATTGTGATATCTGAAATTAATTAAATTGAAAATAAAACTAGTTTTTCGAATCTAAGAGCGGATATACACGGCAACTTTTACCAGCAATACAAACGCGCGTTTGCATCGCCTAAAGTCGCGTGTATTTGTAAATAAAAGTAGACGATTAGCGACTGCGTCGCTACTACATCGCGACTGAATCGCTGCAGACGCGCTGCTAAAAGATGTCGCATATAACTGCTCTATTGAGTGGGTATATTTATTTTATTTATGCACATGTACAGATATAGCTATAAGGAGCGACATAGAGCTGGTAAAACTACCAAATATTAATCAATAACTATTTACTCACGCTACATTAAGTTTTACAAATTATTTTATTGAATGAATTTTTATTAAGTTCAATTTATTATTAATTAACATTGACTTACAATTATATGGACGTCGGGTCCGCGCTAAAAAGTGTCCGAACTTGTAAGGCGTTAAAATCGTATACAGAGCGTCAAACTCCGCTTTAGTCTTCATTTGTTCGACTGACAGCGCGATACTGCGATGACATTACAATTTAAATTCAACGTTTTAGCTTTTTCATATTTCTTCACATGTCACTACGTTTAAATAGGTTGACTTGGGACATTTTTTTCGTGGTTTTTGTATTAGACCCGTCGTCCATTTATTTGTAAGTCAATGTTTTTTAATAATAGAAATTAGAATGTTTTAAACATAAATACATAAATTTTCCCATGCCTTTTTTTCCAGTCGATTAGAATAACTAGCGGAACTGATATCCCATATTGCAAGGTGTTGTTCTGCATTCTCTATAAATTCTTCAACTTGATTTTCGTCCATCGTAGTCAATTTGAAAAATTAACATGTACACCTTACTAACCGTGATGCAACCGAGGGTGGCTGCAGCGCGACAGTCGCGCGGCCGCCGCGCGGTTGCAGCGCTTCTAGAAATTGTATGAAAAGTGAAAATCGCGTCGAAAGACGTCGCGCGGCTAACAGCGGCTAGTTTGAACGCGCCCTAAGTAACAGTGACTGTGTGTGTGTGTGTGGCTAAAATGTACGTCGATGTTTTTCAAGAATAGTGACTCAAAACAAAATAGTTCCTATTAATAAGATATTGTAACACAGCTGCATTCCGAATTAGCTAAATTTTATTGTGAAATAAACACCGATGGACCGGTTTATGATCCGTCGGCTTTGCTACTACCTACCATTCGTACGCTTATGCTTGGCTAAGTTACGGTGTCATCCTGTGGGGTAACAGTACTGATGCATCAATTTACTCGTCAGATAAAGCTTGTAAGAATTCTCGTAAATATAAAACAGACCGACTATTGCAAACCTTTCTTCCAACAGCACAAAATTCTTGCTTTACCGTGTATATACATCCTGGAAATATGTAAGTTCGTCCGAAAAAATTTCAATTTATTTGCAAAGCGCGAAGACATTCCAACTAAATATTCCTTCCGACACAAAGACAGATTAAACTACCAGACTCGCGATTACCATTGCATTCATCAAGTCCGTTTGTTATGTCAATTAAAATTTGTAATATTTTTTTTCAAACAATCCATCGATCGTTTCGTATATTTCGTTATTAGCATAATTAATAATGCTGCTATAATTTTAAAACCTTTTTATTTATTTATTGCATATCACACATGAAGCTTACAGATAGTACTTACACTATAGGGCAGTTAATATGTGACGCCCTGTAAGGGCACAGCAACTGTGGAAGACAGTCTCACATTGACATTATTAATACAGGAATTTAATTAATATATATACAATACAATTTATACGTTATGAGTTATCAATCAAATATTAGAACTAAATAATCATTTTATCAAATCGTCAAAAGATAAACATCTTTCTAATTGTATTAAATAACATATGTCAATTAAACATTATAAGTAATTAGAATCTTTAATTAATTATTTTAAATGTAAAGTCATTGTAGCAAATCGTCAAAAAATTCTTTTAAATTATAATTGCATTTACAAATACAATACAATACAATACAAAAATTCTTTATTGTACACCAAAAAAGGAAACAAGTACAATACAATTAAATTAAAAATAAGCGGTGGTACAATGGTCGGTCTTATCGCTTTAAGCGATTTCTGCCAGACAACCTTTGGATGGAAGTAATTATATAATTACAGGAAAAATAGACATTTACGAATAAGGAATAATTTATTATTTTTAAGACTTTGCAAGACTCTGACAAAACGTGTGGGCCAGACGCAACTATTTTCATTTTGGAGAAGGGGATTTTAAGTTTGTTCATGTCGGTCATTTCTTTTATTATTCTCTAGAGGTGAATAGAATTGGGGATGCTTTCTAATGAATTTACACGATTCCAGAATGTAGATGGAAGTAAGTGTAAGAATTTGATTTTTAACAAAATAGGGGCGACAAGATTCCATTTGTTTAATGTTGGTTATTATTCTTACACACTTCTTTTATAGTATGAATACTTCATTTATCCCACAAGAATTCCCCTACAAAATGATACCATACGACAATACCGAGTATGCAAATGCATAGTAAGAAGTAAGGGCACTCTTAGAGTCCGTTACACGTTTGAGATGCAGAAGTCCATAAATAAATGAGTTTAATTTGTTAACTACTTTTTGTATGTGTTGTTTCCAATTAAAATTTGTATCCAAATTAATTCCCAGTAGTGAAGCCGAATTTACTGTTTCTAGCTCAACATTATTGTACTTACTTATATGATATTTGCAGTGCAGTTTTTTGATGTGGTCTAAATTGGATAATTTTTGTTTTATTTAGGTTAAGTTCCAAATTATGCAAATTTAGCTAGTTTACAATTTTATCCAGATTTAAATTTAATTTTGTTTCTAAATCTGTACTATTAAAGCATGGGATTAAGACGGAGATGTCATCTTATTTCAATATAAGATTTTTTAAATTTGGAATACTAATTATCAATGGTCGGAATAAGGTGTTCCACAGATATAGATTCATATTACTATTATATTGCTACAGGGAACGACATAGAGTTGTTAAAACCACCAAATATTTATTAATTACTTTTTTCGATTTCCGGACGAAAGAAATCCATTAGAATGTTTTTATTTATTCTAATTTCTATTATTAAGTATTAATAAATTGAACTTAATAAAAATTCATTCAATAAAATAATTTGTAAAACTTAATGTAGCGTAAATTGGAATGTTTTCTTTGTAAAATTAAAAATAAGGTATTTAATTAATAACTATTGTAACTATAGTGGAAAAAAATAGGGTGGTTTGCATCAATATTAGACATAACTGGTTGACGACTTTATCCACCTCAGTCAACCGTGACCATAGGACCTGTAAAGGGCCCGAAACGTCGGTTTGTTTGAAAAAACAAATATACGCGATTTAAATCCGGAAAAATAGTTTCATTTCTTAAAAGGAAAATGTTTAAATTAGAATATTATTTAAATACTTTTATATAAAAAAGAACTAAAACAAAACGAAAAAGTGCCATTTTTGACGGCCTTACCCATGTACGGCTATTTATCTTCATAAATGAATAAAGAGATGGATTTCTTTCGTCCGGAAATCGAAAAAAGTAATTAATTAATATTTGGTGGTTTTAACAACTCTATGTCGCTCCCTGTAGGTATTTGTTTTCACGATTTTTCAAGAAATGCAATATGGGTATCTTTTTTTGTGTCCGCCATTATGGATTTAGAAATAAGTGCTATATTCGCAATGAGCACCCCCAAATACTTCGAAAACTAAACCCAACTTGCCATTATTCGAAAAATCGTGCCCGCCATCTTGGATTTAGAAGTGAGTGCCATATTCGTATTGAGCATCCTCAAATACCTCGAAAAGGATACCCATATTGCATTTTTTTGCAAAATCGTGTCCGCCATCTTGGATTTACAAATAAGTGCTATATTCATAATGAGCACCCCCAAATATACATTTCTTGGCTTAAAAACTATAGACCTCCTTGGCTACAATCATTGGAAAGGTACTGGACAGTTTGCTTGACAAGCACTTGAGGAGGCTGTTCTGATCTGAAGTTACATGATGCACAATTGGGTTTAGATCAGGTCTATCTACAAAAGCTGCTATCCTTTGCCTCAAGCACACTCCAGTCCAGTATTATACCTCTAGGAAGACTCCAATCTATGCTTGTTTCCTTGACCTGTCCAAAGCTTTCGATCTTGTATCGTATGACAGGTTATGGACAAAGCTGCAGGAGGAGACCAGTCTTCCAAGAGAATTTATAGGTCTATTTAAGTATTGGTACTGTAACCAGAATAATTTTGTAAAATGGGGAGGCTCGATGTCGAGCATGTACAGGTTAGAGTGTGAGACAAGGTGGGTTAAGTTCGCCAAGTCTCTTCAACCTTTACATGAATCGTGTAATTGATGAGCTTAGCAACACCAAGGTCGGATGCTCGATAGATGGAATAATGGTGAATAATATTAGTTACGCGGATGACATGGCGTTGCTGAGTCCCTCAATAAGTGCACTTCGGAAATTAGTTATTAGTTAAATTAGTTAGGTATATGTACAAAATATGCAGAGGCTCATGGTCTAGGTACAACGCGAGTAAGAGTGAGTTGCTAGTTTTTAAATCAGGTAGCAAAACCTGTAGCACAGTCCCGGAAGTTACTCTGTGTGGCACTCCTCTTAAAAGAGTCTCCGAATTTAAGTACCTAGGGCACTGGGTCTCTGAGACTTTAAAGGACGATTTAGATGTTGAAAGGGAGCGTAGGGCGCTAGCAGTGAGGGGCAACATGTTGGCTCGTAGGTTTGCTAGGTGTACTGACGACGTCAAACGTATGTTGTTCAAGGCGTACTGTCTAACTACATGTATAAAAAAACTTTATACATGTAGCCTATGGGTCAATTACACCCAAAAATCTCTAAGTTCCCTCCGTGTGTTGTATAATAATTTATTCAGGATGTTGTTGAAGCTGCCTCGATTTTGCAGTGTATCGGGAATGTTCGCTGTGTCTCGCTTAGATGGCTTTTCAGCTATCATGCAAAAAAGGGCGGCTTCTTTGTTGCGCAGGATTCGGGACGGTGATAACAGCCTCCTGAGTATAATTGCAAACCGTGTACAGGGTTGCTTCCTGGATCACTGGTCTAGGATGCACATTTTTGTTTTTTGTGGCCTATAATAAATTGTAAAATAAGGAATTTGTAATACTAACCCTATTTTTAAGTGTTTTGTTACTAACCCTTATGGACTTAGTCCGAAATAAAGAATTTTATTATTATTATTATTATTAAATACCTCGAAAACGATACCAAACTTGCCATTATTAGAAAAATCGTGCCCGCCATCTTGGATTTAGAAATGAGTGCCATATTCGTGTTGAACATTCCCAAATACCTCGAAAAGGATTATATTACCCATATTGCATTTTTTGAAAAATTGTGTCCGCTATCTTTGATTTACAAACAAGTGGTATATACGAATATACACTCATTACGAAATGAGCACCCCCAAATACCTCGAAAATGATATCCAACTTACCATTATTCGAAAAATCGTGCCCGCCATCTTGGATTTAGAAATGAGTGCTATATTCGTAATGAGCACCCCAAATATCTCGAAAACGATACCCAACTTGTCATTATTTGAGAAATGGTGTCCGCCATCTTGCATTTAGAAAAGTCGTGTTAGCCATCATGTCATTGTATTCAGATATAAATGCCATTTCCGTAAGGATTACCAAAAATAAAGTTTTGAAATATCTTGGCAACCATCTTGGATTTAGAAATTAATGCCACATTCTCAATAAGCACTGCCAAACAATTCGAAAACGTCTATAATTCTCGTTGTCGATCGACAATGTCGATTACACGTTGTCGATTATATTAATACGTTCTGGTATTCTTTTTAATTATTTTTTTTCTTCAGTTTTAACAAAATAAGTGAAAGTAACGTTTCTTTGTCAGAATCCCTAGTGTAACTGAGTCGAAAGATAAAACATACTAAAAATTGGTCGCACTTCAGCAGCGCGACAGTCGCGCGGCCGCCGCGTGGTTGCAGCGCGACCGCCGTGCGGCTGCAGCGTTGCTGCAGCGCGGCTAACAGCGACTAATTTGAACGCGCCCTTATAGTTATATGTACCTACGTTAGTCATAGTACGAGAACAATACATTTTTAGTGTTGTACAATCAACAAACAGCACATCAACCTATACCTACACTTTTGTTCGAATTTCGCCTCCAGTGCAACCGAACAAGATCCGTCAATGTGTCTCTTGATGTGCTGCCGTCTGTACGTATGGTTTGAAAACGACGCACCACATCGAAGCTCTGGATAACAAGTGCTGAACGCGCGCTCTGTTAGTCATAGTCTAAATTTCCCTTAGAGAATATAACGTTGGAGGCGCCATCCACTGCCCTCTGACAAGTAAAAAAAATACAATAAAAACTACGTAGTTTTGAATCGATTTTTTTTCATTTGCACTATCGAATTCACCGCGTCAAATGCTAAATAAGCCGTCTGGCGCCCTAGAAACCTATAAAAAAAAACTCTGCTACATCTAGTGTAATCAAGTGTGAGACCATAATAACACAACTTGATATTGCATTTGAGTGCACCTGTTGGCTTGAAGTAGCCCTCTAGCCCTTCAAAGAATGGCAGAATAATGTTGTTTGAGAAATAATGCTTTAGCGTCTCACGTGTTGTATGCTCTAAGAATAACCCCATTAAAAGTTAAACCTCATGACGTAGTCATAGCTGATCTTATGTTTTCGCAATATCCAAATTTTAGGTATAATTCTGTGTACCTACTCATTAACCCAACCATGTATTTTTGTTGTTTTCAGATGACTTAATTAAACAAATTATGATTCCCATACAAAAAATCCTACCATTTTCTACAATCTTTGGAATTATTCTAGTCTCCGTAGGCATATATTTTTTATGCAGAACAGAAACAAATTCGGTGAGAGATTTATTTTATTTTTGTTATTCACCGTATAATCGTCTCATGTAATATTAGTGTGTAGTGACCACAGAATCTTCAATTACGTATAACCCAAATTATAATGGCACTATTGGTTTGCTCTGGCACGCACTCTTTTTTGGCATACTCAAAATTTACATTCATCTCAAATGCATGATATTTTTTAAATAATACTTTTGTGTAGACTCTGTAAACTCAATGTCCTGTTGGCACACGTATCGTGACGCCTAAGCACTTCTACATCTGTTGTTCTGTGATTGAAACTATACTGTAAGCAAGCACATATTACATTTTATTGTATTTTGGGGTAAAAAAATGTATATTTCGCTGTACAAAAAAAACTAAACTACTTTTTACTTATCTACTTCTCCGAAACAATCTTTTCAAGAAATATGTAACACAAGAACAAGTCATCATTAAAAAAACACCAAAACGTCTAGTAAATAAGCACGTAAATACCTATAAAGGAGATACCTATAAAGTAATATTAAATATAAGTAAATACCTATAAAGGAGATGTCTGCTAATAAATCAGGATCTTTACACACTTATAGAATGAAAGTAACTGAATCTCAGGATTTTGTGTTAGGTTACTTTAGGTTGCTTTTTGTGAATACGAAACAAGATTTAAAATTGTGACATTTTCAAATTATTCAGCATGACTCTTGAAGTACTAAAGGTAATTAATGGCATTGTCAAGCCTGTAAAATAATGATGAAACATTCGGCTTCATAACCTCAACAATTGTTACTGATTATTTTAACAATTTAAAAACGTAATTAACAAAAACTTCAAAAAAGTCACTTTTTTAATGAACTTATTAAATAACAAACATTTGATCTAAAGCCCGCAACACATGTTGGCCAAGCCTATACGAGTGAAGACCAATACCAATGTGTAGACAGCCTATTTGCCTTGCCTTCGCTCGGTGCCGCTCGCCTAGCTTGCCGAGTGAAGGCGAGCGCCAGCGTGTATAGGGCTCACTTGGCGTGGCTTGTCACGACTAGCCGTCGCTCCACCAGACCACTCATCTCCTCACTTCGAAGCGCTGACGGTATTTTTGTACAAATCAAAGGCGCTCACCTGCTCTCGGCCAATAATACGTGAAAAATGACGCTTAGCACAAATCAAGATATTTTCAAGTTTTTAGAATTTTATCAGAATGAACCTGTTATTTGGAACCCCAAAGACCTTATGTTCATCTTACCTTGTTCTATTTTGATGAATACTCAGCATCCAAGACCTTCTTTTTGTCTTTTTTTTTACCACTTTATTGCGGTATATATTGACTTAATAATATAGGCGCTCATTAAATAAACAGCAGCAGCTGCAATAACTTCTACATGTCGGTGTCATCCATACTGTACCAGTGCACAATGAAAACTGACAACGGCCAACGTGTGGGCAGCTCCACAAAACCCGTCTAATCAATTTGCCTACACTCGCGTTGGCCTAGGCTCGGCCAACATGTATTATGGGCCTAACAAGAACGGAACGGAACACGAAAACGGATGCGTACGTTACTTTTTCGCCAATGACGGCGTGACACTAATGCGGTGTTTACGTACCGGCACGCAAGAGTAGAATTTCAAACATATAAAACACCCATATAATAAATCTGTGCCTTAAGCCTCGATTGCTGTCTAAACCGCTGTCGCCAGAACTCAACACTATCATAATGTGAACACTATGAAATGTTAATAATGAATAGGTCTTTCTTAGTTTCTAATTTAAACAAATGTAGCAAATTCTAGACTGTTAATAAACCTAATTCAGATTGGCATATCGCTGAAAATTCAACACATAATTATTATTGCAAGTTCTGTTATCTGTGCCATTCGAGTTGGGTGAGATTTGTAACCTTTCAAAAAACTATTTTTAAAGACGTTTTGCGATATAAACGTATATAGTTGTTTTTTTTTAATTAGGTCACTTTCATTCTAAAGGTGCTGCATATTTCGAACACAAACAAAGCGTTCCAATTATTTTGATTTTTTTCAGATATGTACTCGTGGTACGGACAGAATAAAAATTATAGACAGCAAAGTGGTAGATTACACTCATTGCATAAACGGTTTTGAACTGTCTTGTAGAGAAGAAATACTCAAAGGACGTCAAAAGCACTGTCAGTGTTCTATGGTAGAATTTACCTTAAACTCTTCACTGCCTGGGGAAGTGATCGTGTTCTACCAGCTGGATACGTTTAGCGGAACTTCAATATACAATGGGACAAATTACACACTATCAAGGTATTTTCTGTTAGTCATGAATTCCATTATCACTTGGTTGATTTAATATTATAAGTATAACACTGATAAGCGTGAAAAATGACGGCTTTATTTTTTTTTTCATCTTTTGTATGTAAATATAAAGATATGTAAATATAAGAACTGGCTCCGTGCATGCCGCGCAGAGGTCCTGGGTTCGATTCCCAGGCCGAGAGAAATATGCATATGGCCTACATTTATTTCTCTCGCGAGTTTGGGTGTCATTTGTGGTTGTCTACGTGCGTGTTCATGGCACCCGTGACACAGGGTTTCCCTAGTGCGGTGCTATGAGTGTGTTGCGTTATTATTATTATTCTTAAAGATAGTAGGCACAACAACATTTTAAAAGTTTTTAAGTGTTTTATAAAGTCATGGAGCAAAAGTTATTGTTTATTATGTTAGTGTAGTAATATATAATTGTATAGTCCTGCAAGGTTGTTAGTATTTCAAAAATAACCCTGTGTAAATATATATAAGCTTTGTTCTCGTTTTGGCTGAAGTTGAGTGTTGATATTATTAGAAACATTTCTTAACGTAACATTGATTTGATTGAATATCGTGATGTTTTACTACCATGGTATTATTTATCTTTAAATTACTCCACTAGTCTGTTATAATTATAATATTATTACGAACTTAACTCGGAAATAATTTAAAAAAATTACAGTGTATAGCCTATTATGCGCCGCAGGGCCCTTGCTGTTCAGTAGGAGAATCCCTAGATCTAGGGAAATTTCCTAAGAGCCGACACGATGTAGCGTCTCTCGGCCCATGCTCTTGAGTACGGGGATCCCCGGATCTAGTGCTTAACATTTGTGTTGTCGTTACCAAAATATACTTATTATACTTATACACTAACAAATACATGCACCTTGATAGACATTGCAACGTGGAAACAGCAGATTAATTATAATTTATCCTGGAAATAGTCGTCTTTATCCTAATATCTTTTAGAAAATAATAGCTTTTTCAATACATTTATGAATTTATTTTGTTAGGTTGTTTTTAAATATTGTAATATATATATTACAATATGATATATATATATATATATATATATATATATATATAGTATAGTATAGTATAGATATATATATCTATACTATACTATCTATGTTCAATTTTGAAGTTGTTTGCATAAGGTTGTTTTTATTTCTAGGAGTGTAATGTTAAGTGACGTCTCCTACTTTATTTTAAAAAAGCGACGATTCGCGTTTCCGTCGGGCTAGATAATAACAATGTACCAGACAACCAGTTTAATTATCTGGTCTCAAGTTTCTCAAATTGGTCCTACCGATAATCGAATCCGGGACCTCCTCATATAGCACAGTACTAACCGTTCGGCCGCCGAGGTCGTCAAATTATACTTTTGTCTCATGTGTCTCAAGGATCGAAAATAAGTTCTAAGTGTTGTGGTGCAGAAATCAAAATAAGTCGAATTGATTATTTTCATTTCCTTCCTAGGGCGTCATGAAAAACAAATACGTAACGCAGACGTTATTTGTGTATTTATTTTTTTAAACAATTGTGGGTGTTATGTTATGATAATGGTTATTAAGTTTTTAATCGAACATAATTAGCAAACGCTACTGTTATGTGTAGGCTTTGGATAAGTTTGTGAGGTCACATCTCAACATTTTAGTACTGGTTGATACTAAAACAAAAACACACGTAAGGTAAATGTCCCAATGGTTGACGCTTTTAGACGGAAAATCATGTGTTTTGCCAAAAAAATATTTAATTTTCAGTCATTCTGACTACCTAGGTATGTTAGCATATTGAACGGTGTGTCATTTATCTTCTAGAAACTATAAAATTTAAAATAATCATAGCATTATTAAGATATTCCACTTTTCCGCAACCTCTAAAATTGTACCAGTGTATGACAGACAAAATTTCTATTGTCCCAATGGTTGACTATGGTAAAATTAGATCAGTGTACTAGTATTTGACAGGACATTATAGATATTAAAATTTCATAGTTATTTAATTGCGTTGATTACCTTTATAACAATAAATTTAAAGAAGCACAAAAGCCAAATTCAAGCAAGATGCTTTTATTGAAACGAATAAGTACCTACATTTACAATAAGATTGTAAAAAAAACTTAAAACAAAATTGAAACTTAAATGTCACATGATCATAAGATATTTATTATACTTTTAAACAACATTAATAAATACATATTTTCAACTTGCAGCGATAGTAATTCCGTTTAGATACTTCATCTTCCGAATAATGTTGGTGCCCTTTAATGCCGGTTAATGCCCTTGGTGGCATTTTCTCATTGCACAATATTTCAGGTACCAATTAAAAAAAAAAGTTGACACGTCCTAGTGTTTGACACCTCATATACGGCTGTCAAGCATAAGGTTCCCATAGTAAAACAGTCTTTGACGCCCATGTGGCACACTACTCAAAGTACCCATGGAAACTTGTCACTAACGGAGTAATACAAATCTACGTTCTTCGTCCTTAGGTACCAAATGGTCGAAATTAAGTTTAAAAAAATATTCAATGTACGATTGCTTGACATGGGTGTCAACTACTACTAAACGTGGACATTTTGCACCAGTGTTTAACATGCCTCTAAAATAAAATATAAACGATATACGTAAATAAATACACACAAAATAAATTCTTTGTACGGTTACCTAATAGTTTTAATAAACGCTTACAGATAATTAACAAAATTCCGTCTAATAAATTCACTTAAGCTACTCAAAGTCAACGATTTTTGGAAGAACACCAACGCGCTTTCAACTCGGATCACCTGTTCGCAGAAATTGTCGTCATACTGAAAAAGTATTGAGTGAATCGAAGAAAGCTTTTAAGTCGAATTCATATACCTATGCCATTACTAGTAAATTTAACACGGTTTTGGAGATATATCAATATTAGTTTTCTCATTTAAAAAAAAATGAAGAAGTACATTGGAACAGCGTCAAAGATTGGTACATTTACCTTAGGTATGTTATATTTTCATCAACGATCATAATATTAAATGTATATACCTATATACCTGGCAAAGTTATGTTAAGTTTTTTAAAGTACGATTTACAGCTTTCTATTTGCTTTTTAGTTACAAGAATCCGGATTTTTTTTTTCTGTGCGGGTAAAAGCTCTTGGGCATTTACGCCAATTTAGCGCAGTTGACTGCGCATTATATGCGGTCAAATTTATTCTTTCAAATTGATTTTTTTCGTATGTTTTCGTCATGTCAAATAAAATTCCTATTGCGTACTTTTATCATTTAATATGTTTAAAATGTCATTATTATGTTATGCGGCCGATGTCGTTGATCTGTTTATTCTAATGCTTAGAGGATGGAAAAAAAAATGTGTTTAAGTTCTAGAGTCGTACTAGGTGTCAGACCAAGTAATTATCTGTCTGGTTCGAAAAAAATTTCAGAATTTTGGTTCGTGATTTTGTTGTAAAGCGTAAACGATTGAAATAAATATTTTTTCTCGCAATCGAAGTGAAAACTAATAGTTTTAACTCTGGACTAAAAGCCAATATAACCCCTCGCTAATGCTCGGGTGGCTAATCACCTCGGGTACGTCGTTGGCTCATGTTAGTCCCTCGATAAAAAATATAGGTATATATTTCCGTGGCTTAGTTGGTATAGTGTCTGGCACAGTATGCTAGAAGACGTCGATTCGAATCCGGCCGGATCGAAGGAATTTTTTTCTGAGCGTTCGATCTTTGTATTAATAATTATAACAAACTAGTGGAGTAATTGTACACAAAAAAGTAATTGAATATCAATTCAATAAAAATTTAAAATACAGTGAATAGCGACATTTATCGCCAGGGCCGGTACCTGTGAAGGTATTTAACTGGGTGATAAAACTTTCATAGATTTGTCATAGATGGCGCTACAACTAAAAAGTCGTTCAAAAACCAAATACAAAGACATGACAACGAGCACAGAGAGAAATTCGTGAGGTCCGCTGGTTCGTTCGGTACCTTAGTTGGTATAGCGTCTGGCACGGTATGCTAGAAGACGTCGGTTCGAATCCGGCCGGATCGAAGGATTTTTTTCTGAGTGTTCAATCTTTATATTAATAATTAAAACAAACTCGTGGAGTAATTTCACAAAAAATAATTGAATATCAATTCAATAAAAATTTAAAATATAGGTATTATATATATATATATATCTACCTAATATTAAATTTTAATTAAAATTGATACAAAGATCGCACAAATAAGAAAAATTTCTTCGATCTGACAGGACTAGATCCTGAGAAGCTTCATATATCTCTCACATGTGTTGCAACGGTGATACTTTAAGCCGATAAAAACCAATACAAAGGATCTGTAACAAATAAAATAATTCGTAAGGTCTGCTGACTCGACCGATAACTCAGTTGATAGAACAGTAGACCTAGCATAGCATACAGATGCAGGATAGAGTCCTGTCAGATAAAAGGAATTTTTCTTCGTATGCGACCTTTGTATTAATGTATAATTATTTTTTTTTTTTATTTAATTGCATAACGTTTAATTTAAATCTTTATTACAGAGATGACCAACAGTTACTTGGCGATTTGACAAATGCTCCATCAAATTCTTGCATACCCTACGCCTATGGAAACGACGGCACACCAATAGCCCCTTGTGGAGCTATCGCAGATGCAATGTATACAGGTAGGTAGAGAAATATTTCCAACAAATTTAATGGAGGTCAAATGCGCACTTGTTTTATTTAGAGGAAATAGATGTACGGTCAGAATACTTCATTGAGAAGTGTAGGAACGCACTGAGGTGGTAAACAGGTTCTAAAAATATCTCAACGTTTTTTATTTTGTTAACTATGCTGCTGTTAACACCACCCACGAGATCTACGTTTTTTTCGAACCGGGGCAACTTGATAGTGGCGCCCCCTCTCTTCTGTGTTTCAGATAAAAAAACTCGCAAATATAAGTAGGATTTTTTATTGGTGTGGAGAATAAGAGCCCTTTACCAAAATTGCACTCTTCATAATTTTTTCATTTGTGTGACATAAAATTAAATATAGAAAACATAACCAGGAAAAACAACAGACAATCAAGCGTTCAAAAATCAACTTCGGATACAATCATAAATCAATTCAGGATGACTAATGATATTATACGGTCGACGAAATGAATAATCGATAGAACAACGCCAACGTATGCGAGATGCTAGGCGATTTGTGATACAAGTGTTATTTCAAGTGAAGTCGACGCGCGAAGCCGTTCCACTGTAACCAAGTGTCGACGCCAGTTTCCATATTTGCATAACACAAATTTGTACCTTAACAATGGGAAAATAGAGATGAATATGTAATACTTAGGCGAAAAACATGACCCGTCGCGACGCGGTCCGCTCCGCTCGGCGACCGCGCGGGGTGAGCGCAATGAAATTCGTGTCAAATAAATGCGCCCTTAAGCTTCCACAGTTTTTTTGAAATATGGTTATTATTAAACTAAACTAATTTAACCGTAGAATTTATAAAGAAATTATGTTTTCAGATGAATTAATGATTTTAGACCAAAATATTGAGAACTATCCTTACATACCAAGGCTGTTTCATGGTATTGTCTCAGATGCGGATAAAAAGAACTACCGTAATCCTCCTAATTCATCAGAAGATTTAGCCACAGGTTTGTTTTATATTCTGCCTTAACATAAATACCTGTTATGTAGTGTAATTATGATGCCGTTTCTTTCTCGAATAATATCGAGAACGTGTACCTACGTATATTCTCCTAAATAATTTTCAATTTTTTTTTCAATAGTGTTCAAAAATTATTCACGACCTAAAAGTTGGAACTTTCCAATTTGGGACTTGGACCCTACCAACAGCAGTAACAATGGTTTTCAGGTATGTCATTTAATAATTATAACTTTCATATAAAAAAAACTGACTCCAAAAGTTTGTGAAATTACATTCATATATCTGCCGTCCACAGACTAAAACGCGGCTAAGTGACAAATAGTCAAATATCCGTTTTAAATAGAAAAAAATAGAGCACAAAATTAGTTAACATGTTCGACTTATAGGAATTTACCCTAACGAGGCATAGCTGAAATATCATTAAATAATTTCAATATTCTAAAACTGGGTTATGGTTTTTTAAGACATCTCAAAAACTTATTTCATCACTTAGCCGCGTTTTATTTAACGGACGACAGATATTTGCCGAGTTTTTTAAAGGAGTGAAGTCCGATTAACCAGGTTCATCCCACTAATTTGCCGCCTCTGGAGGTGGAGCAATTATGTTCTTCAAATTTAAACGGGATCGTTACTGACGGTACCCCCTTTCCAACAAAACAAAAAAATTTCGGAGTAATTGCCTAACGTACACAAAAAAATACAGTCCAGTTTACTTAACCTTCTCCTTTGTTTGAAGTCGGTTGAAAATCAAGTTGCTGACCAACAATTTGCTAATAAAAAATATTATTACTACAAAATATACATGCCCTAATTTAACAAACAATTTTAAAAAACATTATAATTGTAACTTCGTACCTCCATTCGTGAGAACTTTTGAGTACCTGGGCACAAAAAATAAAATTACTATAAATAGAAATGATATTTCATTCTATGATTATACCTTTATTTTATAACTGAAAAAGGGTTTAGTTATCAAGTGACGGGACGAACAAGTCGTGAGCCTAATGGTAAGCTACACGTCTGTTCATAACAGTTGCAGTGCCCCTCGGAGATTTAAATCGCAAAGATCTGAGGGGTACTGTCACTGTCGATTCGGATGGAGAACGTGGGTGGACTCCCAGTTCACTTCTTGTGATGTTCTGATGGTATTCAAACTAAGTCTTTTTTTCCGCTGTTGCTCTCAGCGTCGGTGGTGATTTGGATTTCTCATAGTATGTCCATACATGTTAATAATGACAGCTATTTGAATTTTTAATTGAAATGAAGTTTTATAATTATTGGAATATGATTTATTTTCCCTCCCTACACGAACTTTGCAAAACGTATTGTCGTTTGGTCATAGTATAAAAGACAAGTACGGTAAGGCTCAACTCACACTGCCGCAGAGTCGAAGCGTCGTGTCGCGTCCTGTTTTTCAACTACAACGCCTGGCGACTCTCGTATAAGTGCGCCCGGATCACAGTGTGATCCATATTTGCATAACACAAATTTGTATCTTAGTAATGGGAAAATATAGATGAATATGCGATAGGCGAAAAACATGACACGTCGCGACGCCTCGACTCTGCGCCAGTGTGAGTTGAGCCTAACTCCATCCCTACGCGCGCAGAGCGGCTTGTAAAATATTGCTTGCACCCCCGCTGCGCACTGTGTATAGAGTTATGGACCCATCCAGTCGCATAATCTCGCGACGCACTCGCGTTGCATAACGCGGGTCATTACACGTGCCGTGCCTTGTAATCGCCAGGTGTTTAAAAATGACATCAAATAGTAGACGTGTTTATTGTTGTATTTGTGATAGTTTGAACAAGAGTGCTTCAAATTCAAAATTGTTCAGCATGTCATTTCTATTTTATGATCATCTGATCATACTTCAGAATCAAGACACCAATCAGAGTAAGATATAAGTATGAGTATCACTTACGCGCTGCTATGTCGGCACCTCAACCGTGAGTTTACAGTCACAGTTATCGCTAGCGACAGCGTAAAACATTTGTATACAAAATGTTACTTCTCCTCGTAATCGCTAGGGGCGCTATATAGTTTGCCATACAAAATTGTGAAGTAATTTACGGTCGCTATCAAAAACTGTCACAGGAAACTCATAGTAGAGACACAGTATGGAGTTACCACACTTGGTCTTATTATACCATGGTTTTGTTTTAGTCTTCATTAAGTGATATTGCATCACCTATAGTCGTCACCAAATAAGAGGCCAAATTAGAAACTTGGACATAGTTATGCAAACAAAACCAACCCACACCTCGAGTGAAATTGAGTTATGTACACCAGACGTGTCCTTTACTCGCTCACAAAAGATCCTGGCAATATAGTAAGCCAAAACGGAGAAAATAAAAGTCCTTCAGGGTACCAACCCTAAGTAAGTAACTTTTTAATAGCTAAAAAGAACCATGCTACTTAACTTCATATTTATTTTATTTTTTAAATATGCTAAATGGATCCATGTCACATGTACTGAAAGTACTGCAGATCTTTAGCGTTTTTATTACGAAAACTAGAGCATGGTTCTCGTTAACTAAATAAAAAAATACATAATATTTCCTATTTATGGCTATATAATAGTTTCCCTATATCATTCTCAATGCTACACATAACTCACGTTGTTTGTCTCAAATAAGTTATCTATTTATGTCTTCACACTGTTTTTACAAAAATCTAATTATCTCGAAAGTGACATTTTGTGGGTTGGTTCAAGTTTGCATAATTACGTCCAGTTGTCATCGTGACGCGAATAGGGATCTGGACTTATCATATCGGTAATCACATCATCATCATCATTTCACGAGAAATCGATTCAAAATTTTAAGAGTTTGCGATTGTTTATATTATTTTTCGGTTCATTGTTGTTCAGGGGGCCTAAAACGCCAAATCGTGCAATTCTGTTAAAAGCAAGTCATTGACAGAATTCCTTGCAATTCCTCTTATTTCCATAAAATTGTCCCACATTCCGATGAATTGTATTAATTTCTTTTAATTTTGATTTTATAATATTTATAAATGGTTTATTACGAGAATTTAGTGTAAATAAATATGTTCATCGATAAAACAACTACATTAAAAGTTTAAATTACCAAGAAACCAAGGATTTCATAAATTTTCAATTCTAAAAGAAAAGGAAAAACAAGTTTTTCTATGAGTACGGGGCTCTTTTAAATTTGATAAGTTATAAATTTATTTGCAATAGTCAGTGTGGTCAGATGTAATATACATAATTATTTAAAATACACCTATTTTTATACATTTTTGTTTTAATATTTAATAAGGCCATATTTTTTCCCAGAAATCGAAGTGACTCGGTGAAATTCGGCAATTAATTGCTTACAACACTATTATTAAAAAAAAATACCTTGGTAAAAAAATACCTTAATAAAATACCTTTTTTAAAAATACTATTATATTTAAAATACACGTAACTGTTTTCAGGACGTTTCGGGGTAACTCAAAATTGCATTTTATTTTGGAATTCGTGCGAAAACAGTACTTCAAATATGTTTTAATAAAATTTATGCATTTTTTTTAAACTCACTTATGCTAATAATTGTTTAGTTAAATTTTTTCAAAGTTACATACATACTATCGCCTTCGCTAGCTGTCAAATTTGGCCTCTTATTTGGTGACGATTAAAGCTATTGTTTGCATTGAATATATTCTTCCATTTAGTATGTTATTCTTTAAATACCCTTTGTGTAGGTATACTTGTTATTTGTGAATTAACACATACTTCATGTTTTGATAGGTAAAAATAATTATTTAATTCAATGTTAATGGGTTTATTAACAGAATGAGCCCTTTATCGCCTGGATGAGTGCAAAAGATTCGAATGGACCAATAGCTGCATGGCGAGTGAACCGCAACGATACTGTATACAAAGATGGGCTCCCGGCTGGAAATTATACTCTAATTGTCAACTATAGTAAGTATTAGTAGGCAGGCTAAAGCACATAAATCCAGATAGAACTTCATTCATTTAAATCTATACATCGATCGATTAAAGCACTTAAGTTAAATTCATTTGGCATCTTTTTCAACCTTGTCTTTCTCTTCTCATATTCCGACATTACAACCAACGGGGAACAACAAACTTTTTTGTTTATTTTTTTACATTATGTGCTTAAATCTTCCGACCCTAGATTTATTTTTATTCAATATCATAATGTTTTTACTTCAATCATATTTATCTTTTTTTGTGAAAATATAACACTGGTTCGTTATTATTTATTATTGATATAAAGTTCGAGCAAAGACAAACAAAAATCCTTTCGACCCGAATGGATCTGGATCTGACTGGTCCAGTCGGTTACATCATCACAAATAATTAGATGATTTAGCTGGAGTTAACGATGCTGATGAAGCTAATGACGCAGCAGCTTCGGTCCGTGGCGAATTCGTCGTTTCCCCAAATGATTCACGAATTTGTTATTTATAAGTCTTATTGTCATTGAAGCTCTGCTTGATAATGCAATTTCACGGCTATCAGAGTCACAAAAAGGAGTGCTTGAATGTCTTTTCGTAACTGGAAAATGAGGTTTTGACTGAAGTACGGGCCAAATTGAGTACTATGAATCTTTTAAATGGCTCTGACACGAATGAACGATAACAGTAATTTATTTATTTATTTCACATATTCTTTTACATGTTTTGAAAATTTTTCAACGCCGATTGCACGCCAGTTTTCATGGTGTCGCCATCTCGGAGGTCCCGGCCGGGTCAATGTAGAAAACGAACTTTTCGATACTTTTCTTTACGAACAAAAATAGCCTATAATTAGGTTAATACCAATACTTAAATTTTACTACTGATTTTGTGGTTTTTGTGATTTGTGTGGTGGTATCAAATGTCGCATCACGGGGCATTCACTCCTAGCCGCGGTAGTCTTCAATAGGCCGTTGCTGCTTCCACGTATTCTGTTTAATAAAGACGCCAACTTCTTCCGTAAGAGTACCATAAAGCTATCGACGCGAGCTTCAACAAATATGGTAGACGCGAGCTTCAACAAATATGGTAGACGCACTGCAGTACCGTGGCAGCCGCGCAGCGTCCTGAAGGCGTTATTGTATTGCGCACGCAGGGCACTGAGCGAGCTTTGGGTATAGTTGGCCCACAGGGCACCCACGTACAGTGATGTGCAATAGACTCTACAGAGAGTGACCTTCACCTCCGTACATCGAACAAACCTGCGAGCCAGCATATGCGCCATCACCGACAGTGCCCAGCGCTCGCATTCCATGTCCATATACATGGGGCGCACTATAAGTTTCCGGAACTTTGCCGGTTCGCGTCACTTGGTGCAATGCCATGCTTACCAGATTCAACGAAGGGGCATCAAATTTGGTATGGGACACAGTAACAGGTGATGAAACATGGATTTATAGTTACGATCGCAAAACAAAACTCTTCTTCCAACAGAAACAACCAAAACAAACTTCTGCAAACCAGCTATAAATAGTCGTCTTGCATGGTCCTTCATCGCCAAAAGCAGTTTGAAGCCGAGTGAAGCTCTGCTGAGCTGTTAAATTACACTTAAAGTCGTAGAAAATTTTCACGAGTTAATTCCACGGTGATGTAGACAACCAATTTCTTAAATGACGCCACAATGTAAAAACAAGTGACAATCAGATGAAATAAACTATATTCTACAGCCAAAGAGTTCCATTTTCAAATGTTGTAATTACTTTTTAAATATTGTTTATGTAAGTGGTCAGTTTCGAAAACTTGTAGTGCGCCCTTGATGTCGTCGATTTTTGCGGACAACCCCAAAGTCCATATACTCAGTATTTTTGACGTTATAAATTAGTACCAAAACTCGGCTTCTGCCCATGAGATGTTAGTCCATGGGTCTAGCGTGATACATCATGCATTGTGCGCGGTATCTTTGGCTAATTGTCCAATAGCTAACAATTAGCCAAAGATACCGCAGAATCGAGAAACAAAGACAGTATCTATGGTCGTTACTAAAAAAGTCGTTACTAATAGAGACCTTCTGAACAGGCTCCTTTCTTTCTTTCTGGCCTTCTAGTACCAAGGCTTAGATAGTTACCTAGAAAGAATAGGAGAATTTTATCAAAAGCTGTTTTAAACCTTAAGTATTTAAAACAATTTTTTAAATGACTACCGTTCTTTGTTGTTATTTATTTAGATATTTAATTTGTGATTATTTAACAACTAATGAAGAAAATTTATGTAAAAAAAAAAATGTTTAACAATTTACTTAAAGATATACGAAATACTGTACTTCAAACCCATACGAGTATATTATATGAATTTATCACATAATTTAAACCCTTTTTTTCTATTGTTTCCAGAGTATCATCCTCTACGGTACATGGGTTCTAGAAAAGCAGTAATTGCATCGACAGAGCACGAATATGATCCCGACAATTGCACTTCTACCACCACGAGAAATCATTTCGATCTTGGAATCAGTAGTCTAATAATAGGAATCATATTCCTATTAATAAGTATTGCTGCGGTCGTGTACGGGAAAAAAACTAACTGTAAGTATTAGGTACGTGTACCTCCCTACACATTATAATGTGCGTTACTATTCCGATCAATTTTACATTGCTGCGAAACGGAATGGAAGCTTTCTGTAACCGTAGCGTAATGAACTTTATGTCAAACTATTGACATAATAAGAACGAGAGTGCAGGGTCTATACGAGTCTAAAAACAGGTCGCGCGTCTTCCGGAGAATTAACACGCAGAATTATCGTATCTAGTTCGTACGTTACGCAATTGACAATAAAGTTCATCATGATTTGTACAGTCAACAGCACATCAAGCTACACATTAACGTTACTTGTTCCGTTGCACTGGAGGCGATTTTCGAACAACAGGTCTCAGGTTCCATTCCCGAGCCGGGAGAAATATTTGTTTGGTCTATATTTATTTCTCTCGTGGGTGTAATTTATGCTTCTCTACCTATGTGTGTGTCCATGGCACCCGCGATACGGGGTTTCCCTAGTGCGGATCTATGAGTGTGTGCGTTTTTTATTTATAACTAATATGTGAACGATATATTTAACAGAATACAGGGGTCATGATTGTTATTTTTTAACTCTATTTATTTAGAGACTTTAATAATCATTGAACATGTCAGCCCAAAACAATACATAAAAAAACATTTAATAGAATCTAAACAGATAAATCAAATTAGGTACTACCTAACTAAACACATATACAAAATCTTCGAGGAAGTGCGGCGGAAGTAGTGCCGCTAAGTTAACTCGGATACAACGGATTGGAATCAACCATTATTCAATGTACCAAAATCAACATGTGCAAATAACCGCACCCTGATAGTTTAGTCATGTTAGTTTAAGCATACGTATCATTTTCCTCATTATTTATTTCGATAAAAAACTTATAGTTAAACGAACAATTTTTAGTTGTTAAAACCGTCACCTATCGGTTACCACCCACAATTCAAGTTTTATAAAAATGGGGCCCTATTTTCGATGTTGACAATTATTTTCTTCGATTAATGAAATTAAATTTTAAATCAATTAACGTTCATTGATATAGGTGGGTTTATATCGTTTAAAAATTACAGTTTTGTTAAAAATGTCTGTGTAAATGCGGATAATGTGTAATGTTTTCCTTGTAAAAACCAGTAATATTGTATTTTTAGTAAGTTCCTGCTTATATACCTATGAATGTATGCACAATGTATGTACCTTCTTAATTATTATTTTAAATTAAGTTGCCCGAGAAACCTCAAAATACACGAATCAAGTATAACTTACGTAACGTACGTTATTGCACACATTACTAGTAATCCGCACTCTTGTGTAACTGGATCACATTTGCGAAATTATCATGCTCAAATGGAAGATTTATAAAATTTCGCATTACATAATTTGTTTCGTATTGTTCGTATTATTTTTATCACTTTCACGTGGTTGAAGTTTGCTAAAAATGTCCTACTTTATTTAAATGCTATCCATATTAATATTTAAAATTTATGCACAATTATTTTAGTGTGCAATTGTGTGCTAAGTTAGTTCGAAAATATTGGCAAGTTCTCCCAGCATGCATATTATATACAGAGTGTTTTTTTAATGGGACAGTATGGGGAAGTCCGAAACCATAAAAGATATAAGGAAACTGTCTTAAGAACCATTAAGTCTTTTTTTGGGAAAATAATTTTGGCATAGTCAACTACGTGAAGAAGTGCGCGCACATGAACCTTATAAGTTCAGGTTCTGACCCCAGATCAGCCAGTGTACAGGGTTGTCACAGATCTCTGTCACTTGACTTCATCCGGTTCTTCGAAAGGCTAGTGCCTCGGGTGAGCCGCCCCGGGTGCACGTACAGTACCTATACTACATACTATTTCTCAGATAGGTACCGGAGCTGCGTATTGCACAACTAGCGGTTGCCACCGCTAAGCCGTTGATTCTGAGTCCACTACCAAATCTCCTCATTGGTGGCGGAGCCGTAAAGCACGCTCACTTTCCGACGTCGAAAAACGACGTCTCTCCAGTTCCCAATAACCTAAGCGGCTGAAAGGACCGAGGGTATCTAGCTTATCCTCTACTAGTTCTCCGGGCTAGTGCCGGAGATGCCAGTCGCAATGTCCTGCGACAATGTCCGGACATAGCTTCCAACTTAAAGGGCAACTACGTGTCCCGCGTGTATCCTCGCTTCAGGCCCTCAACTAGACCGCCACTAAGACGCGCTAGCTGCTCACGAGACAGACGCCCCGGCCACACCCAACCGGGGCACACAAACATGTCCGTCTCTGCAGCTAACCACAAACCCCAGCGAGTCCATACCCAAGTCCGTCCCAACATCTATTGTTTTTTTTTTTTTCTGTTTGGCCCAATGGTTTAAACCAGCCGGTAGAGAATGCCTTATGGCATTAAGTCCGCCATTTGTACTTCAATGTATTGCACAATAAAGTTCAAATAAATAAATAAGACCGGAGTCCATCAGGGACGTCGGCAAAGGCGTATCACTGGCGGAGGGCTTGGCCCAGACGCCCGCTGTACCCTGGTCTTGCCGTCGAGCCCGTAGTCTCTCCGAAAATCCTATCTCTCGGGTCGGTAGATAGGGACAGTCGTCAAGAACAGTCTTAGCATCGCCACCCAAGGTCCCTTCATCAAGGTACAATAAGTATAATTTGGAAATCAATTTAGATATAGTTGGATGGACGGCTAAAGAAAAGATTGCCTGACAGAGAGGTCACCCTGTTGACAGCCGACTACTGAATTTAACAGACGACGATCGAATGATCGACAAAATCGCGTTAATCTTTAGGCACTTGATCAGCAGTAACGGTCGATAAAATCGAGCATATCTGTAGGCACCTAATAGACATTAAATGTGCCTACAGGTTTGCTCGATTTTATCGATCGTGTGCCTACAAATTTGCTCGATTTTGTTGATCGTTACGTTCAATCGATATGATGTTTTGAAACAGAAATTTTGCATACTACGCTTACTACATGCACTGCACTGTCCACTATATAATATCTGCATGGTACTTGCAGCTTTACAAATAAACATGCGGCAAAATGTCTGTCTCAAAACACATATCGATCGGCTGTACCAAGCAAATCAAAAGTGTAGGCGTAAGTGTCGATTGGGTAATCGACATTGTCGATCGACTGTGACCGTCGACAATGTCGAGCTAATCTATAGGCACCCGATCGACGTTATCGATCGATATTGTCGAGGAAATCTGTAGGCATCTATGTTAAGTTTTTAAACCCACCTACCTCATCTCAGTCTCCAGCTGAAAAATAAGCCCTGAGACTATACTCAGCATAAAGCTGAACTGGCTAGCCTTTTCGAGTATTGTTGTGTATTTTAGTTTTTTATAAACAGGCTGAAATGATCATGATGTTGATAATAATAATTATATAAACTAAAATACTGAAATATATAGTTTTTATAATTTATTACTTTTGTTTTTGTGTGTTTTGCTTTTATAATTTATTTCGTATGTTCTTGTGTTTATGCAACGTGTTAACTGATACTGTGTTTGAAATAGTATATTATTGTGAATAGCCGAATAAATGTTTCTTTAAAATATTATCTTTACAATAGGCAAGAAGTATATGAAGCATTTTTTCCTCCTTTTTTACAGGGGGTAAAGGTGAAGATAATACTATACACAATGACCAAAGACCATCTTCAACAAATTGTAATGGCACGAGACAACAAAACGGTGAACAAAAACCACTTCAAAGTCAGAAATATCAAATAACTGATAACGAATCTCTTACTGCTACAGCAGCCGTACTGCGGACTACGACCGACGACGATTGAAATTTTAAAATGGTTTGTTAATAAGCAAATTATTGTTTAAATGTATCTTATTATCTTGTGTCGGTGTAGTTTAAACTCATTATGGTAAACGTTTTGATTGCATTGATCATAATATGCTTCTGAAGATATTGCTGGTAACTGGTGTCCATAGTGGTTTGCAACGACGGTTTGCGTCTTATAGAGATAATAGTAGCCAGGCAGTTGTTTTGTGTGGAAGTTAAACAGACATCAACCCCGTCTAGTGTTCCGCAGGGTTCTATTCTTGCGCCATTATTATTGCGTTATTCATCATCTTTATTAATAACAAAAAATCGGATTTAATTTATTTATTATTATTATTATAGGAAATGAAACTATTTTTCCGGATTTAAATCGCGTATATTTGTTTTTTAAACAAACCGACGTTTCGGGCCCTTTACTGTCCCATGGTCACGGTTGACTGAGGTGGTACAGTCTTCAACCAGTTATGTCTAATATTAATGCAAACCACCCTATTTTTTCACTATAGTTACAATAGTAATTAATTAATTACCTTATAAAAATTCATTCAATAAAAAAATTTGTAAAACTTAATGTAGCGTAAATTGGAATGTTTTCTTTGTAAAATTAAAAATAAGGTAATTAATTAATAACTATTGTAACTATAGTGAAAAAATAGGGTGGTTTGCATTAATATTAGACATAACGGGTTGAAGACTGTACCACCTCAGTCAACCGTGACCATGGGACCTGTAAAGGGCCTGAAACGTCGGTTTGTTTGAAAAAACAAATATACGCGATTTAAATCCGGAAAAATAGTTTCATTTCCTATGTGAAACAATCGCGAAAACCTAAGAACTCGATATTATTATTATTTTTTAACGTGAGACAATTAATACCTGTATCGTTTCGTGACTGCAAAATTTACATTACAAATTAGGTACTTTTAGCACGTCCTAGCTAATAGAAACTAAACAAACAGTGATATAATTAAAACATCATAACTATTAAGTACAACTAACTCAAGCGTGCATAATAAAATAATGTATTGTTAAAAACGGTGTTATTAGCGGCCTGTCATAATATCACCTAAGTCATTAGGAAGATGGTTTAAATTGGTACGGAGCTCTACCAAGAGCGCTGCTTCGATATATACTAGTAAATAAACAGTGAATTTTCCTAATAAAAAAAAAATAGCGATAGATCGTGCTGCGTGGACTGTTGTGATCAGAAATGGGCAGTAGATTAAAAACCCAATCAACCCACCCGGAGTTTAACGGGGTATTTACCCAAAGCGGGTTTTAACCCCTTTCTGCCCAATCGTGGGCGGAAACGGAGAATGCGAAATTGGTATAATTCCACACTTATTACAAATTCCTCGATGTAAACACCATTTTTAAATGAAAAAGAGACGAATCCATAAGGGCAGGTAATCTTATGGATTCTCACTACTAAGGATGCATTTACGATTCCATTTTTATTAAGAACGATTCAAATGCATACCGATTTTTGTACCTATCGATTTATATCAATGCGATTTCAAGCGAACCGATTAAATAGAAAGGCACATCGAATCATCTAGGAAAGCAATAAACATTTAATCATATATTTGCATAAAAACTCAATTTAGGTGCAATGGATATATAGTTGTAAAATTTAAATGTTTTTGTCCTCGATTTCTATTTTGACCCGATTTAATCCTGACGTTAACAAAGCGCCGCGTTAAAACCCTTGGGGAATCCCCCATCTCTGATCGTGATGCGTGATGAAGTTATTGTTTTTAAGGATATGACTTAAACAAATCCATCAGAATTGAAAAACGGGAAAACCTAACCGTTAGAGCGGTTTCATACGGCGGCTTTTAGCAGCGCGTCTACAGCGATTCAGTCGCGATGTAGTAGCGAAGCAGTGGCTAATCGTCTACCTTTACACACATGCGCGAGACATTGGGTGGGACTCATCACATTTGTTTACACGGAATTGCCTTGAGTAGGTCAGAAAAACCGTTATATCCAAGCAATAAGAGTGAAAAAGACTCTTGACAGACACAGATTCTTACTCTTGACTTTGTGCAACTTTGTTATCCATAGCGCTACTATACAGCGCTGTATCTATATAGCAGGGTTCTTTATCTTTTTCTAGTCATGAACCCTTCTCAAAATTTCAGAGTCCGTGGACACTTTCCGAAAAGATGAAGAAAGGCTCGCGGGTTGCCTTGACCACAACATATAGTATACCAATTTTTATATAATAATAAGTAATAATAATATATCTTTATTGTTTCTCTCACAAAGTCTTAGTATAAATACAAAAACAGTGCTTAATTATCTAAATAGTACAATATTTAAGTCTGTGTGAGAGACTGGCATCCGTACTAGGAGACCTGTATTACAGATCACCAGCCCCTCCACACTCCGGACCAAAAGCAAGTACAGCTTACTTATACTTAGATAGTTACATCAAGAAATGACTTTATTAATAGACTTAAGGCGCGAGGGTGTGGATAAATGAGTGTGTGCATGTGTGTGTGATGGTGTGTATGTGTGTGTGAAGGTGTGTGCGTGCGTGTGTGTATTTGCGTGTGAGTGTGTGTGTTCTGTGTGTGACATAGAGTGTTATTGACTATGTAAGGTGTATACAAAACCCAATTTACCTAAATAATGAAATAACCATATTAATTTTGTATTAATTATTTTAAGTTGAGATAATTCACAGATTTTAAGATTAAACATAATTTAGATTTTATTTTAAGTTGGAACAATTAAGAGATTTTCAGATTCATCATAACTTAGATTTTTAAGCCAACTAGTGACAACTCTTTTACAGTTGAATTTAGTGAGCGAGTATATTTTAGTTGTTTTATTTATTTTATTATATAAATACCCGCCTAGAAAACCGAAGAATCTATTCGAAAAAGCTGTGGTCCAGCGAGTAGAAGAATGACATACTTTATATTTCAAACGTTTGTTAACTATAATAATATAATGTATACTTTGTCATGTTAGGTAGACGCGCCATGTATCTTTTTTTTCTTTTACTTAATTTGTTTTTGTTTTTAGTAATACAATAATTATAAATAAGCGGAAGGCCCCTAGGTCAAGGCAAAATAAAATTAAATATTGCTCAACTATGGATAAATATAATTGGTAAACAATATTATCTACCTAGCTCATTCCCAAAAGGTATAGAGACTGTCAACGTCTGTCCAAGGTGCTACAGTATTGATGCTCTTCGATAATATTCAACACTAAAACAAAACACAATCTATCAATACATAGTGTTTTGTTTTGAAACATGTACCTAATTGCTGTGAATGTTCTTGTCTATAGATTGAAGTCAATTGTCATTTTTTTTTCATTTTAATTTCCTTACTGATTTGAATGTCGCGTTGTTGATTTTGCGTTCTCGTCTTTTATTTCGTAAAGTTTATTTGAAATATTCATTGAGAAATAATTAGGGAAAAATAAAACATTGTGAAATAATTTTATTGACTATTTTTTTCTATTTTTTTATTCCTAACATACGGTTGTAAGATTGTAAATAAGTAAAGACTAACAGACAAGGTGCGTTTTTTAAATATTCGCCCTGTTGAGGAACCACTATGGGAACGATTTACCTACATATTACTAAGTTATATTATTTGATAACCCTCGCTTGCAATGGATGTAACGCCGAAATTATAATATGTTAATCATCACAAATATGTTTCATAATATAATTAGGGTTTCGTTTAATAAATAATGAATAGAATCAAGGTTATTTTACAGAAATGGATGTTAATAAAAATGGAAGTATATTACTTAGTCAATCCGCGAATCCAAGGTTCAATAGTGCAGAGTAGCTGCGCGTGTGTTGATTTTTTTAATTAATACAAAGATCTAACACTAAGGAAAATTCCTTTGATCCTGCTGGATTTGAACCGCGGTATGCTGAAGGCGCTGGTTCAAATCGAGCCGGATCGAAAGAACTTTTCTTTGTGTTCGATCTTTGTATTAATAATTTTATAACAAACTAGTGGAGTAATTTCACAAAAAAAAAATAGAATATCATGGTACTAAAACGTCGCGGTATTCAAGAAACTTAATAATAGTATTTCTATCATGCAATAAATTTACGATTCTTCCTCCACATAAAATTCATGAAATAACTAACACAAGGGCAACTACACAGTCACAAACAACAACTCAAGTTGCTTCAGCCGAGTGTGGAACAATCAACAACTCTTGATGCCTGGGGTTGAAATACATACCTACGTGTCGGATATAGTTTTGATGTCTTTTTTTACTCTTTATTTATTTAGGAGCTTTGATCATTATTGAATACTTCAGCGTATTAGCATAGCTATACAAAGAGGCAACGCTGCCAACTTCTTGGGCACCTTGCAGCGGGGACCCAATTTTGTTCATTTAATTTAAGTCCAGTTTTAGTTGCTAGTATTTAAGTTTTTATTGTAATTTATACCTTAACTCGTTTAAATTGAAATAAGTAACTCCACTCGTCAGCCCCATTAGAATAATAATACAATGTCATCAAGAAAACACTTAACACATTCGCGCGAGTTAAGTAATCTACTATGCCCTAAAAATTTATAAGTGATGTAGAACAACGTACTATTACGTCGTTTAATTTATGTTATTTCATCGTAACTATTTGGCCACACAAAATCTTATTAGTGACCCACTGGTCACTAATGGCGGCAGGAATCGAAGGTTGTGGTAAGGTTGGCCCGGAGCCAACTGCCCCCTCTATTTTCACAATTATAAAAGTAGTTAGCTCGGGAGGGCTCGGCTCGATTGTACACTCCTTTGTATTCTTCAGGATATCGTATTCTCTAATAAAATAAAAATCATTTTGACTAGTTAGAGCTAGGCCGCGCTCGCTGCTGCCCCCATTGCTGTGCCGGCCGGGGCCATGGCCCCCTCTGCACCTCCCACGCTACGCCACTGATAGTGACGTCATTGCTCTACGACATATCAAAATAATAAATCTCTTGCGACACGCAGTATCGAAATTTCACAGGATAAGTAATCACTACTCACACATACCCACGATCGCTGGCAACGTGTTGTCGGACGGTTTATAAACGTCAACGTTTATTGACGGCACTATCATTTTAATTTACATTTATTTATTAGCCTGTAAAGGAAACGTTTGCATTTATGCATGTACAAGAAAAGTACAATACTCGCGCGAATGTATTAATAAAATCCAAACAGATAGGTAAATAAAAATTCTTATTAATGATTTTTTTTTAAATTAAACTGTATTTAAATGACACAATTTTTTACAATGTAAATGATTATATGAACACGACATGAATTTAAAGCTAAATTGAAAAAGTGTTTCTGTCTCATGATCTGTATTTTGTACTGAGTAATTTTAACAGAATTAATGTTATTATTGTAATAACTGCCTCGGTGGCCGAACGGTTACCATGCTGGACTGTCACACACAGGTCCCAGGTTCGGCCCGAAAATATTTGTATGGCCTACATTTATTTCTCTCGTGAGTTTGGGTGTAATTTGTGGTTGTCTGTGTGTTTACCATGGGTTTACCTAGTGTGGAGCTATGTTGAGTGTGTGTACGTTATATTTCATAAATTTTTGTCATGTCGCACTATTAATACAATAGTGTATTTTCTCAGAATCGACGAAAAGCTAATTACTCGCTTCCCGTGAAAGATCTGTGTAAATTTATATATAAGTTATTTCCTACTTGCCAACTACACATATATAAAAATAAAAGAGAAAACATAGTTTCATATTTTTGAATAAGGACTATTTTGACCAGAACTAGCTCACATAAAGCGTGTCTCATTTTGAGTTAAGTAGATATGTTTTAGTTGTTTTTTACAATATTCTAACGACGTTTTTATTGATGTGTAGAGTATCAAATTTTATGTTCAACAATGGTTCAATCTTCAATTTCACATATTTTGATTATATTTATTAATATTTTGTTATAACACTATTGTAATAGCAGTGCGATGTGTATAGAGGAGTAAAAATATAGATTACATAAGTTTGACATTCACATGCTTATTTTGGAATGTTTTTGACATTGTTATTTTTGCTGTATCGATCTCGACATGGTTATTAGTACTATTCTTTTTTACAGTTTCTAATTATTAATACTTTGAATATTATGCGATCACACTAATCATATTTACATGTTCTTTACAAAATTGGTTGAAGTAGCACTGTAATGTAGTATTTAAGACCTAACTGAAATCAATTTATTGTATCTACTTTCACAAAGAAATATATCTTTATCTACCTAACCAAACATGTTGGATGTTGGATTTCGCCTTCCACGCGTTTACGTAATGCATTACATTCGTATTGGTTCCGAGGGGTCTACTCTCGATCTCCGTCCGAAACAATTACTGCCAAGTAAGCAATACTTGACCAAATGAAAAGACGCGTGATGCGAATGAAGCTTCATACTGAATACTTGTCTTTTAATTTTGTCGAATATTACTTATTTGACAGTAATTGTTTCGGACGGAGATCGAGAGTAGACCCCCGAATCCGAGACAACAAACCTAGAAAACTCTGAAGCACTTCGGATGTCGCTTGTGCACTAAGTCCGATACGAATCCGAGAAAATACGAATATCGCTTACTGTGACACTTCGGACACCTGTGACATTTCGGACCGTCATTTTCTCGGATTCGGAACGATACGAATCGGACGTAGTGCGTAATTGTAATTCACGGAGTAGCTAAGTTACGTACTTCCATTTTTGTTGTATTGTTTATTTTTATATTCACTCACATGTTTTTTTTTATTTCTGTGTTTAACTAATCTCTATGTGATAGTTAAGTGCCTAATGTGCAATGCTTTTAAATTTGTGTGATAATGCTTTAAACCCATTATCACACAAGTACCTTAGTATAAGTAGGTACACAGGGTTGTTTATAAAATACTAACAACCTTGTAGGACTAGACTACTAACATAAGCAACAACTTTTGCTCCAAGAGTGCATATAAAACTTACTTAATAAATTTACCAGAAATAACTTTCTTATACAGGGTCAAGAGCGCGTCAAGCTTGACATTTAAGATTTAAATCCAACTCTATACCGCTTAGGATAAGAATGGTCCAAAGTACAAAGTATCAAGCTTGACTGTACTATTGAACAGTTTTAGATCTATATTTGACAGTAAGGTAATATAGGAAGTTCAAGCGTGATAACATCCTCTCCGACGTCTCCCGCGTTTAGCACAGAGTTATCACCGTTTATTAATAAGCTACACGCCTGTCCACAACAGTTGCAGTGCCACTCAGAGCTTTAAATCGCAAAGATCTGAGGCGCACTCCCACTGCGCCCCTCACCCTGAGACATAATTAAGTTGACAAGTCCCGTGTGCCTGTGATTTCACCAGCACCGTTCTCCTTACCCTTCAAAACCGGAACGCCGTAATGTTGACGTTATGGCTTGGCGACAAAAATAGGTAGGTAAGGTCACGAACTCTTTCACAAGGAGCTCTATCTAGTATTTATATGGTCTGTGAGCTCTACTGCTACTAAAAATTATTTTTGTATGAAAGTCAAATCCGACGAATTTGTAAACGTCATGGAACAAAAGTTGTTGTATATGATGTAAAATGGGCGCATTCATTATCCTACATTGCAGTCCGCCTACCTGTCCGCCGCGTAATGCAGGACAATGAATGTAGTCTCAGCGTGCAAGTCATCCTGCAATCTTGCAATGCGTCCTGCGAGACTCCATACGTGGGCCATATGCAGGATAGTGTGTGAACAGTCTCCTGTCTGCGCGGCGGACTGCCATGCAGGTAGTGAATGGGCCGTTTTAGTAATACAGTACTGCAAGGTCGTTAGTATTTTACAAATAACCGTCATTATATAATTCTATAATCAGCAATGTTTATTCGTAATAATTCACTATTTGGCTTGACATGTGTAATTAACTTAGTTTTTAATGTCTTCATATATTGAAGTTTTTTTATTATTATTGGTACAAAGATCGAACACAAAGAAAAGTTCTTTAGATCTGATTTCACGCGAACCAGTGTCTGTTGCCATGCCGAGGCCACCACTCCTAACTGTGTAATGTTTGGAGGTATCTACTAGTGGTCTCCTCTTTAACGATTTCTTCTTAACGAAGTTAGCACCACTGACTATGTGCTCAGGCCACACAGGGGCGGCCGCGGAAGCATTCCGGGCGTGTGAATTTTACGAGTTCATACCCTGCCACACTGAAACGCCCGGAACGGGATTGCCATCCGCCATTGCCATAACAGTTTGGTGTATACGACAACTCAAAGTCTTGGAGGATAATGCCTAGTACAGAGCGCCCTAGTTCATCACTCGCAAATGGATTCCTTATAAGTACCTATAATAATCTCAGTACAGAGTTCTAAAAAAACCGACCTCAAAAGTTCGTGGAATGACATCTATTTGCCAAGTTTCATTAAAATCAACGGAAACTGCGCGAAATCGGATTCATCCCCTAGTTTGCCACCCTTAGAGTTGGAATATTTTCTTAAAATTTAAGTGGGGTCAGTACTGAGATACCTTCTTTCCAACAAAAAAAAAAGAATCATCAAAATCGTTCAAAATGTTGGAGTTATCGCGTAACATACATAAAAAAATACTGTCGAATTGAGTGCCTCCTCTTTTTTTTGGAGTCGGTTAAAAACAGAAATACAACCAGATTACTCATAAATTTCAAACACATTAATTCACTCCTTTAATTGCGTTAGGGTACGTAGGTACTAGTTAATTTACCCTGAGAACATACAGTTATTTAAGATAACATACGAATTTCTTTATGTGTTTGTTACAGACATTCGTATTTTATGCCATCAGCCAATTTGTAAGACCTGCTGACTCGGTCATTGTAGGTCAGTTGGTTAAGAGCTGGTGGCCCCGGGCATGGCGATAGATACTAAGACTCCAGTAAGATCGAAGGAATTTTTCTTTGTGTTCAATTTTTGTGTTAATAATAATAACGAACTAGTGGACTATTTTTACAAAAAATATTAAATGTATTTACATTTTTTTAGATATAGTAAAACATCATGAATACTCAATAAATAAATATATTGCAGTTTTTTTTTTACAATACTCGGCAAATTAAAGCTGCTACTGTAGGTCCTGTCGTTATTATGATGAGTACAGAGTTCTCAGTAGTAGTATATAAGTACTCTTAGCCTGTCCGCAGTTGCAGTGCCACTCGGGTTTTTAAATCGGAAAGATCTGCGCCTGCGACACCCTGCGACATAAGCTGACAAGTGCCATGTGCCTGTAATTTCACCAGCACCCTTACCCTTCAAAACCGGAACTCAGTAATGCTCACATTAGCACTTTGCCCCAGGAATGGGTAAGGTGGCAGCAATTCCCT